GCTCCGGCCTCGTCGCTGTCAACGGCCGCACCGTCCAAAAGGTAACTTCTGCGTTAGAATTTCAAATTTTGTTGCCATTTGAGCACTGGAATCAAGAGCTGAGTTATTTGCATAACGTTGCTTCCGTTTCCGACTAGTGTTAGCTTCTGTGGATTATAGTCTGCTCTCTTGATTGTGATATAGATATGGACTGTAAAGTAGCTAGCTTTTTTAATGATAACTTTGTTGCAATTAAAGGTGCGAATGTATCAGATATGATGCTTCGTATATCGTATCTGCTTTTTAATTATGAATACGGTTACATACATGAAATTGAATACTGGTAAGGAAAACTCATATATGACATCCGCCAAAAGTGAATACGAATATGAATGAGATCAGAGGAAACGCTGCCGGTAAGAAAACATATATGAAGGAAACAAATAAAATAGGAAAATTTATATGTCGTACGATACAAGAGATGTTATAACATAATGGATTTATCTAATGAGAGCATTAATATGTTTGACGTGTTTATAAAGCTAAGCTGAGACCTGAGAGCATTAATAGTAATGATTTCTCCATGAAATACTGCATGACCATAAACTATTGGACGACAATTATATATTTTCATTTTAACTGATGCTATTATCAATGTTTTAAAAAGTGGTCTGGGTGTCCGTCTAGGCCTAAGCGGTACTTATGACGTTCGCCTAGGTCTTAGAAGCGCCTAGGGGAGCATCAGCTGTTTACGCAGACTTCACTACCTAGGTTGTGTTTGTGATTCCCTCCACAACCGCATTCATGTCCTTTAACCTTCACCGACCTCTTCTACTGACTACAAAAAACTCTACTAGTGGTAGAGCTAGGAATTTCGATAATTGGGGTTCAAAAACTAATTATGCATGATAATATATAATTTTTTTGCACAATTCAGTAACATCTAAATATCATTACATAGCAAGGCTTTCAAAATTATATTTCTAATTAGAATATAATGTTTTGAATAACATTCTTGTGAAGAAGAGCGAAGTGGCAACGAGACGATGATGTGAGCATTGTGGACTTCTCTCACAGTCGCAGTTAATGCCACTTTATGTAAAGAAGCGAGAGCCAGAGAGGAAACAAGGGGTTTTATAAAGTTAGGTACTTTATTACATTTAACCCCTAGTAAATAAATATAGCTAACTGTCCTTATCAATTGTTTTTTATAATCAAAAGATCCTGGGCCTACTTGGCCCAATATGGCTCCGCCCTGACCTCTGCTGACTCCGACCTTTAGCAAGACCTCCGCCTCTAGTTAATTGCATGATTTAATTGCAGCCAGGTGCTCTAAATTTCTCCTACTTTACACTTACCCTGACTTGTTTTTGGCAACACTTACTACCCTAATGTTTTCTAAAACTAAATTTAATTGCAACTAGGTGGAATTGTCGTGTTTGCATAACTAAGGGTATGTAAGTGCAAATTTAAATTTTTAGGTATTTTATTATAAGTTTAAAAACTTCAGGGTATTCAAGCACTGCCAAAAACAAGTGAAGATACATAAGTGCACGTTTTAAAAACTTTAGGGTGTATAAGTGTTACCAAACAAGTGAGGATATATAAGTACAAAGTAGGGCAAACTATAAGGTATTTAAGTGCAATTAAGCCTAAATAAAAAGAAGATATCCGCCTAGGCCCTTCATAGACGCTAGGCGCTGGGTTGGCGCCTAGCGACACCTAGCACTTTCTCTAACATTGTATATGATGGATGAAGTGTAGAAAGAGAAAGAGGAGAATCCATGAGAGTAAAAATAGATAGTCTAGTAGACATTGACACAAAGCAAATATATGGTTTCTAAAAGATAATCTAAAGAGCTCGACGCAATGTAAATGCAAAATTATCACTAAATCGCCGGTGAAATAAAATTATAGCTAATAAAGTGGTAAATCATCATTCAACAATAGAATTACCTAAATGTCTAAAGTAATTGTAAAGATAAAGTGCTAATTTAAGTTGAATCTAAGGCCCGTGAGGAGTTCATAGACAATTCATAGTTTTTTATGTGTGCTAAACTTCTCAAGTATGCCTACAAATTAAAATTGCAAAAGACCTTTGAGTTTTCATTGATTACCAATCGCACATACTCAGATTAGCAATTCTAGTTTGCTAATAGATTAAAGATGACCAAAATTGGCTCTAGAAACTGATTGAAGGCGATGGATGAAAAGAAGTGTTAGGAGGAGCAGAGAAGGAAGTCTTTATTGGGGAAGAAAGGAATAATGGTGGAAGCACTTTGTGGGTAAGGGTGGCTAAAAACTATCCTGCCCATTACCTGACATGAACCCTACTCGTCAAAATGGAGTCGGGTTGATATACATGGTTATCGATCATAATTGGATTGCCGCCCTACAAACTAAAATGATTAATAAAAAATAATAAAATTAAGGCACATGACCGCCGACCACAAATCCTCCAATTAAGAGGAATTGTGAAGCCTAACTCTAATATTTTCTTCAAACATGAAATTTCACAAGCTTGATCAATAAAAACCTTATAATCCTAGTCTAAACTTACAATATATGCATCGTCATACGCAAGTACGCAACAAATGGTGTAGCTCAATGTTACATTAAACGTTGGGCCCTTCTAGGCGTCAGACTTGGCGCCCAGCGCTTAGTCGTCTAGGCGGGTGCCTAAGTGGTTTCTGGGCGTTTTTTTTTCTTTCTTCATTTAAGTGGTGATCGATGAGGTTTTGCTGAAGGTCGGAGGAGATAGTGGAGATGTTCATATTTAGAGGTTAATGGAGTTTGGAGGACGTGTAGGCTACGATACATAAAATCACAATCAAGGCCTACATGGTGCAATCTACGTAAGTAGACAATGCTCCTCTAAACGCTCGTAAAATCTAGGTAGGCAGCCTAAATACCGCCTAGGTGATAG